GCACACATGCACACACGCACACGTACGCGCACACACACACACACACACAGTCTCCCCCGTGGTCGTTGCATGGCTGCAAGGAAGTCTCCAGGACACCTGTGCACCGGGACACACGGTGTTTATTTGCTGCAGGGTTCTGCTCACACCTTGGGGGTGGCGAAGAGCTCCCAGCCTTCCAGCTTGCCCATCTTGAACAGGGCGGCTGCGGTGCCCATGTATACACAGCCCACAGCTGCAGTCCCGTAGTTGTGAGCTGTGGGGAAGAACAGCATCAGGCACAGGGTACTCTAAGTGCAACCCCGGAGCCCCCCAAGGCGATAGGGGCTGATGGAACTAGGGTTCTTCAGACACCTATAGAGCCCAGCAGTGAGTTCTGGAAATGGGGATACCAAGGCCCGGCTACCCTGTACCAACTATTCCCCACTCCAGGTCATGTCGGGAGGGGATGTGGTCAGCTCCTAGCAGTGAAGACACCTCCCTGCTACAGCCTTTCCCCACGGTTGAATTGAGGGCCAGCATGGCTTTCCCTTGGCCAGACGCCCAGGACCACACAGAGTAGGAGGCCTGGGGCTGAAGTCAAAGTTGGGCTGTGGGCAAACCCAGACCTTACAGGGCCCCAGCTGGGAAGAGACAGCCGCCGGTTCCCAGTGTGCACATGCGAATGCAGAAAAACGGGAGCCCAGGCCTCGTCCCACCCTGGAGATGGCTACTGAATGTCTGTGACACAGGGTGACACGGCAGGACAGCCATTCAGGAGGGCATTTAGGTAGGACTGCCCAGTGCTGAAATGGCAGCAACTGCCTGTCTGGAGTGGAACAAAGAGGGAGGAGGCCCAAGTGATCAGGGGTCACACACTGTAGAGGGGACACACTCACTGCGCGCTCCCAGGGTCAGGCCTGCAGCGCAGCCTCCAATGAAGTAGTTCAGGGGGTCATCTGGCTTCTCACGGACCTGGGCACTGACACAGGTGGCGAGACCAAACATAGCTCCGACAGCAGCTGTAAGGGGCGGTGGGGGTTGGAGGTGGGGAAACTGAGCCGGCGTTGAGCCAGCACCTGGCTGTCCCTGTGTGGACAAGGCTGGGTGCCACCACTCTCTGCCCTCTAAGCCAGGCCAGGGTCAGTGTCCTGGGACTCGTTGCCAGCTCACCTGCAGTGAATGTGTACCGGCCAGCCCTGGCCACTGCTTCCAGGTGGGTGTCTGCAGGGTTGAGTACGACGCTGTAGGCTGAGCCTATGGCGCCTGTGGAGGAGAAAGGGCGGAGGTCTAGGAAGCTCTGCCGGGATACAGCAGAACTCAAACCCAGGCCCACCTCTTGCCGTTCACCGACCCAGGGTCCCGTGCCATCAACGGCACAGCTCTCACAGTGCCTCCTCCGCTCCCATCAAAGGCCAGATTTTCCAAGCGGCTGGGACCTGGGCCTAATCCGGCTTGGCAGCAACCAGGCTCGAGAGAGGCTAGACCTTTCACGTGCCGGCTCAGCCAGACGTGTCTCTATACCTGGCTGGCTCTGGGCTGGCTCTGTGCCTTCCACGCCTACCCTGCCGCCATGCTGGTCAGCTTTTCCACTCCCCACTGCCCCATACTTCACACCATGGCTTATGTAACAGCTGAGGCCAGGGTGGATGCTGAGCCGGGAGCCCAGGTCTGGATGGATGGCGGGGCAGCCTCAGTCACCATCCCCATCTCTCTGGGCAGCTGCTACAGGTTTCCCACTACACGGAAACTGATGACAAGGAAACTGATGATCGCCGCTCCTGGCTGGCTGACTGGATTCTGCCGTTACTCCCTTTCACAGAAGGTGAAGTGGCCCCAGAGAAGCAAAGCCACCAGTCTGGCACAGTTGGCCACAGGACATTGGGTGTTGCCTCTCAGCCATCCTCCAGCCCCAGGGGATGTGCCACACGTGCCTTTCCTGGTGAGCTCTGGGAGTTCCGAGCTGAACACTGACAGCCTCCAGCTGGACCTCAAAGATGATGAGCTGATGCTGGGCTGAAGGACGGGTCTGGACACAGGGACCCTGAGTGACCCTTATGAGCCAGGGGTCATAAGACCCATTCCCAGACTGTCCCACGGCACAGAACAGGCACAGCCTTGGCGCCACCAGCAGCATGGGAGCCTCCAGGAGCAGCCACCATCCCTATGGGGGCTATGCTGCCAAGGCAGGAATTCATTCATTCACCCACTCACTGAGGGCCTCATTCATTCATTCATTCATTCATTCATGAGTTCCCCAAGTTGTTAGACCTCATTGGGGAGGTAGGCTCACTGCCCTTTAGGGAAGCCAGGTAGGAAACCAGTCCCCCCAGGGGGGATGAGATGCCTGGGGACAAAGAAGGTGTACAGGGAAGATTACTCAAGCAGCTACAACTTCCCACCTCCTCCCCCACTGGCTCCCCAGCAATGCTTCTGACAAGGACCTGCTTAGGCTCAGCATCCACCTGAGACATTCCAGCCTAACCCCACACTGCACACGCTCATCCTCTGGGTCCAATGCCAAGGTTCTGTCAGTTTTAAAACCCTCCAAATCCAAGCCGTGTAATGGTGGCCCACCCCTTTAATCCCAGCAGAGGCAGGTAGATGTCTGTGAGTTCAAGGCCAGCCTGGACAACGTAGAGAGACCCCATATCAAACAAAACAAAATAAAAACAAACAAAAAAATTCTCTCAATCATCTGACCCCACAGCACTGGCCTGGAGGGAGCAAAGCCTTGGGGCAGACTCATGAATGAGGCCTGTATACACACTGTGAAAGCATGACTGACAGAGGCCTTGTGGGTGCAGTGAGAGTCACCCAAAAAGATGTCTGACATTCCTAAAAAGAGTGCCCCATCAGAAATCTTACAGTATTAGGTCCTCATGGTGGCGCACACTTTTAATCTCAGAACTCTGGAGGCAGAGGCAGGAGGATTTAGTTCCAGGTCAGCCAGTGCTACGTAGGAAGATCTTGTCTCAAAATAATAGTAAACAAATAAATATCTCCCGTGGTGGCGCACGCCTTTGATCCCTGAGTTCGGGGGGCAGGGACAGACAGTTCTCCGAGTCCGAGGTCAGTCTGGGATAGACGGTGGGACCCTGCCTGAAAAACCTCAAAACAGACACTAATAATAATAACAACAAAACATTTCCCAGAGACTAAGCCGGGGTGTAGCCCTGTCATCCCGACACTTCGGAGGCTGAGGCAGGAGGATCATGAGGATCAGGGGCTCAGGGCCACCCTCGGCTACACAGCGAGTCTGCGGTCTAGTATCTCCAAAACCTCGAATGGCCTGATCACTCCATGACCCTAGAAAGATCTTCACATTTTCTCCGGGTTCCGCGGCCCGATAATGGCTTATGACCCCTTGAGATCCTAGGGGTAGCGGGCAAACAGGTTTCCACCCCTCAGAATCAAGCTCCTGCACCTTCCGGCCCCGCACCGCGGCATCCCTGACCTCCGCGTGCCCTCCGCTCTACGGCCCGCGCTCACCGATGAGGCCACCGAACGCAGTGGTTATGTAGGTCTTGCGGTGACACTGGGTGCCGTCGGGGATCTCATCGTAGGCCCGCAGGAGCCGCTGGGCCATGGCTGCGCCCGGCCGTGCGCGCTCCGTAGACCCTTCCGCGCCGCGGCGAGCTCAAGGGCAGCCGGCCGGGCCAACTCTCGCGAGGCTTCCAGCGCACAACTTTATTGAGCGTCCCGGATGTGCACACAGCTTGTTCGCATGCGCGCGGAGCGGGCTGGGTGTGGATGTCTCCGTTTCACGTAGTAGAAACGGTGTCGTGCGCATCCCCACGAGCGAATCTGGGTAGGAACACCCGTGACTTCATTCTTGGAAAGGTAAACTGAGGAGCACAGCTATCAGTCAAGAAAAATGCAGCCTCTCCTAGCAAAGACGGCGTTCCTAGCAGAGAGAATATCGATGGCATAGACAACCCGTCATCCAAGAGATTGACAGGTTGCCAGATCAATTGCAGTACAGCGATTGCAGCATAAGGCGGGTCAATATGCGAGATTGACAGAGGATAAACCAATCGCAATGCAGGTATTACAGAGCACAGCGCTTCGGCCAATCAGGGGCCCAGAATGTGTGTGTGTAGGGTGTTCTCTCAATCAGAACAGCGTGCGACTATTTTGGGGCGTGGCCAGTTCTTGGGCGGGGACTATCGGCATAGACACCAATCGTAGATCGAGGATAGTAATTGACGGATCTCAAGCCTATTCTGCGCTGGTTCAAGATCTCCCTGAACGCCGAGGCGTAGGCAAACGGAAGCGGACTCTGAAAGAGACTTGAGTGGCATTTAAAGGGCGTGGCCTTCCTTAGCCCTGCCCCTCTCAGAAACGTGGCCAATAGCGAGAGTCCAAGAGGAAGTCACAGCTTTTCCCCCCCAGAGGGCGGGCCTCTTGAGAGGCTTTAAAAGAAAGGCGGCCGCGGCCTGAGACGGCGTCCGAGGGTGGGCTCGTGGGCGGGGCCTTCCCTGCACGCTGGGAGGAGCCTCGCGGGGCGGGGCGGGGCCTGCGCGGCGGATCATGATCTCCCTGGAGGCCGTGGCGG